TTTCGCTGCACATATTAGTCCTCAGGGTTGTGAGGGATTACTGACCCTGGCTGCGTAGGAGAATTACCTGAGGAGCTTTAAAGTATAATGACGCCCAGGCTTCCTCTAGATCAAGCCTGTTCAACCTGCAGCCTGTTTTTTTTTCTTATCAGCTACTGTTTGTGTATTTTATTGATGAGTGTATTTTATGTATGGCCCAAGACAGTTCTTCTTCTTCCAGTGTGGTCCAGGGATGCCAAAAGATTGGACACCCCTGCTATACATATTAAAATTTAATTTATGGCAGTGAGGAGAATGGAGGGGGAGTTGTTTTTTGTTTTTAATACTACCGTAAATAATTCTAATGTGTATTCAGAGGTGAGAACTGTCAGGTCTCCATATACAAACCTGGAGCCTGAAAGTCTGAAGTCCTGCTTGCCTCGGCTGATGTCTCCCATCCCTTGCCTGTGTTGGCAATTGTCCCTGATCACCCAGCAGAGCTTCCTTGGACAAGTCCCTCACCCAACCCTGCCATCTTAACTGTTATTATGATAACGTAAATACCGCTCACTCAATCCTGCCATTGTAGCTGAACTTGTGGTCATGTATACTCCCTTGCCCCTACCCTGCACCACTGCAGCTGAACTTACTCTGCAACACCCCTGACCCCCCAAAAACTACCCAAACCTATAAAACCAACTCCTATCCCACTGCCCTTTGCTAATGCCCTGTTTGGCCTTAGCCCACCTGCACCCAGGGGAATGAACAGCCATGTTGCTCACACAAAGCCTGTTTGGAAGGTCTCTTCATTCAAAGCGTGTGTTTTTCAACAAGAACCACTGAAATAATAAAGATGGGGTGATTTATGGGTTGAATTGTGTCCTCCAAAAGTTATATTGAAGTCCTAATTGCAGGTACTGTGTGTCTTAGTCTGTTGGCACTGCTGTAACAAAATAGACTGAGTGGCTTATAAACAGCATAAATTCATTTCTCACAGTTTTGAAGACTGAAAGTCTGAGATCAGGGTGCCAGCATGGTCAGGTGCTGGTGAGGGTCCTGCCATCTAGGTTCCAGGCTGCAACTTTTCTTTGAATCCTCACATGGAGGCCAGAGGACAAGAGAACTCTTTAATAAGGGCGCTAATCCCATTTACAAGGGCTCCAGCCTCATGATCTAATTTCTTTGCGAAGGCCCCACCTCCTATAATCATCACCTTGGGGTAACATATGAATTTGGCGAGCGCTGCATTCAGTCCATTGCATTGTGAATGTTACCATATAGGATCTTTGTAGATGTAATAAGTTAAGTTAAAATGAGGGCCTACTGAATTAGGGTGGGCCCTAAATCTAATATAACTGATATCCTTATATAAAGAAGAGAGACACAGAGAGACGTAGACATGCAGAGAAGAAGGTCTACTGAAGACAAAAGGAGAGATTAGAGTGATCCTGCCACAAACCAAGGATTGCCAGCAACCACCAGAAGATAGGAGAGGCAAGGAAAGATTATTCTCCAGAGCCTTTGGAGGGAACATGATCCAGCCAAGACCTTGATTTTGAACTTCTAGCCTTCAGAATTGTGATCAAATACATTTTTGTCATTTTAAGTCATCTGGTTATGGCCCCCCTAGAGGCAGATATACCTGCTACTCTCTATCATTTAGAAGTATGATATGAACTCAGGAAAAACACTAAAAGGAGCTTTAGTTTAATAAGATATTTTTAGATTCTGAAAGAGGTATCAGAAAGGGATTTTGGACTGTTGGTTCCTTGCTGGCTATTAAAATAGTGTGACTAACCATACCAGTTTGCCCAGGGCTGAGCAGGTTCGGGGATGAGTTTTGTAACACTTGCATTTCTTACTGCCTATCAACCATGGCAATACTTGTAAGACTGTGCTAACTTGGAACTCTGATTCTTGAGTAAAAACAAATATTGACTGGCTTATCTGTGGAAGAAAGCACCCTGCTTTGCAATAATAGGCCACTCATTCCCTTCAATGGAAAGAATAAACTTTTCTTTAGTTAGAAGTATTTTCTAATAGCAAGTGGCCCATGCATTCCAAAATAATTCTAATAAAATATCTTGTCCAGGCTGGGCGTGGTGGGTCACACCTGTAATCTCAACACTTTGGGAGGCCGAGGTGGGCAGATCACCTGAGGTGGGGAGTTCAAGACCAGACTGACCAACATGGAGAAACCCCATCTCTACTAAAAAAAATACAAAATTAGCTGGGTGTAGTGGCACACGCCTGTAATCCCAGCTACTCGGTAGGCTGAGAATTGCTTGAACCTGGGTGGTGGAAGTTGCGGTGAGCTGAGATCATGCTATTGCACTCCAGCCTGGGCAACAAGAACGAAACTCTGGCCCCCCAAAAATCTCGTCCAGCTGGGTTATTATCAAGATCTGTGCAGGAGTAACTGTGGGGATCAGGGTAGGACAAAATCCATCATATTTTTAATGTTGCACATTCCAAGTTTGGTCCAAAATGAACAGATATTTGATAATGTCATTTTAAAGAGCTATCCCAGAGCATTTCACAAACTGTTTGTAGAGATTCATATATTTGGTGAAAAGTATACGTTTGATCAGGGCTAGGGGCAAGCATTCTTGAGGGCCAATATGTATCTTTATTCTCGGTATAACCTTTCTATACCTGGTTACCTTCTCCTCCTCAAATAAAATAAGTAATAGCATTAACTTTGACTCTGAGCAATATTCTGAAGACTGGTTAATAACTATTATATACTTTTCACATTAAAAACAATATGCATCTTTGGTGCAGAATATTAACTGGTGGCATATAACTTCAAGGCGCCAAGTTGTAACTATCCCATTTAATCAGTGAGACCACTCTTGCCTTTGGGCCGAGCCGAAAGCTGCCCTGATATTCACAATTGTGTCCATTGTTGCCCTGTTATAATATATGACTCCATAGTATGCATCTCTTTGTCACATGATGGAGACATCTCTATCTTATTTCTTTTTTGGCTACAGCAGTAAATGGGGATGTACTGACCATGGACCTTGTTAGGCAGCATTTATTACTTTAGACACCTGCACTGATGTTCTACTGATCTCTATTTCTATGAAACGGTAATTGATGCTCTGTCAAAGGCTGTGGAATATTCATCAAAGTCTTTCCTTTTCTGGGCAAGGGATGATTGCGGAGACAATGTTTATGTCTCTGATTTTTCAAATTCTAAGTCATAGCCAAAGCTCCCAAAGTTACTAAGTTTAAGATTCCATCTGAACTTGGCTTTGTACAGTGCAAACTACTCCACATTTAAAAATCGCCGTCACAAAGTAATAGATAAGTCCGAAGCAGATAATCCTCCCCTAGCACACAACTTAATAAATAAGCCATGCAACTCCCTGCATAGGCGGACATAAGAAATCCATCCTATTCAGTCTTTTAATTTCCCCAGTGTTCGCAGACATGCTGGCATTTTCAAGAGATAAGCCCACACACTTTTTCCTTAGGAAAAAAAAAAAAAGGTTTGACTAAAGCACAATGTGTCCTGTGGTAAATCATTATTTTCAAGCAATGCCTTTTGTTTACTTGTTTTGTATATTATCAACAGGATAAATCTTAATCCTGTGTAGAGCATGTCTGCTGATTGTGCAAAATTGGAGCTGTCTTAACGTGAACAACTGTCCTCCTTCTAATGCCAGGGCTGGCCAATGAATGCTACCCAAGAGGATGTGGGGAACCCCATGTCCCCAAAGCAGAAACAAAGGGAGAGACTTGTCTGAGATTACTTTAGTACCAAGCATTTAATTATAATTTTAATTTGTACTACATCCTCCCTTTTAGCAGTGATTTTACTGCTAAAATGAAGTGATGTTATTTAAAACAAATGTTTCCTATCACCTAAGTTAAGGGGGTAACTCAGGAATGGAGACTTTTTCAACAATGAACCTGGCATCTCTTTATTCGCAGAGCCTCTGAAGCCCTGGTCTGGGCAGCTAAGTCTTCTTTGGGGCATTTTTGGTTTTTCACTTTTTTTTTTTTTTAGATGGAGTTTTGCTCTTGTTGCCCAGGCTGGAGTGCAGTGGCGTGATCTCAGCTCACTGCAAGATCTTCCTCCTGGGTTCAAGCAATTCTCCTGCCTCAGCCTCCCGAGTAGCTGGGATTACATGCACCCACCACCACACCTGGCTAATTTTTTGTATTTTAAGTAGAGATGGGGTTTCATCATGTTGGTCAAGCTGGTCTCGAACACCTGACCTGGATTACCTGAGATTAGGTGTTTAGGTGATCCACCCGCCTTAGCCTTCCAAACTGCAAGGATTATAGGCATGTGTTTCTGTGCCTGGCCTTTTTTACTTTCTTTAAGCAAGGACATCCATGTCCCTTCAGTAGTTGGTATTGAATTCTTAAAACTGTCAATGACAACAGAAGTTACCTGTCAGAGCAGAAAGAAATAAAAGAAAAACAAAATCTTATATTATGGATTATCTTTTTAAGAGTGGGCCTGTGACTGGGGCTGGTGTGTGGGCATCAGTGGAGATGGAAGTGTTCATGTAAAAAAATAGTTCAGCAATTTCCTCTTTTTTTCAGATAAGGTCTGGCTCTATCATCTGGGCTGGAGTTTAGTGGTACAGTTTTGGCTCACCTCAACCTCTGCTTCCTGGGCTCAAGTGATCCCCCTGCCTCGGTCTCCTGAGTAGCTGGGACTGCAGGCCCATTACACCACACCCGGCTAATTTTTGTATTTTTTTGTAGAGACAGGGTTTTGCCATGTTTACTAGGCTGGTCTTAAATTCCTGGGCTCGAGCGATCTGCTCACCTCAGCCTCTCAAAGTGTTGGGATTACAGGTGTGAGTTACCATGCCTGGCCGAGAAATTTCTTATCAAGTTAAATGCTAGGACTACCCTCTGACTCAGCAAGTCCAATCCTAGGTGTCTACCTATGAGAAAAGAAGCATATGTTCGCCTGAAGACTTGTATTTCTCATAGCCTCAAGCTGGAAAAAACCCAAGTGCCCGTTCCAGGAGGGTAGAACACCAATTGTGATAGTGCTGGCTTCAGCGGCACACATGCTAAAATTGGAGGGATACAGAGAAGATTAGCATGGCCGCTGCACGAGCATGACATGCAAACTCGTAAAGCATTCCTTTAATTTTTAAAATAAAGAAACTCTGGTATATCCATATAATAAACAAATAAAATATGGATAAAGACAACATGGGTGAATCTTGAAAACATTACGTCGAGTGAAAGAAGTCAGATACAAAAGAGTGCAAACTGTATGATTCCATTTACATGAAGCTTCAGAACAGGCAAACCTAGTCTATGGTACTGGGGATTAGCACAGTGATTGCCTCTGGATGGTAGTGGTGAGTTGACTGGAAGGGACACACGGGAGCCTTTAGGGCTGATGGAAATGTTTTCTGTCTTGACCAGCATTATAGTTATATGGATATATACATTTGTCAAAATTCATCAAATATACACTCAAAGCCTATGCATTTTATTGTATGTAAGTGATCTCAATGTGAAAAGGGGAAAAAGCAAATTAAAATTAGTTCAGATTTTCTACTCTTGAAGTTCCCTAATTGATTAATGCGTGGTTGCAGTCAACACATTAGTGAATCATTATAGTGTGGAAAAATTTTGCTCTCATTCTAACTGCTTGTTTGTGCTCCCCAGGACTCTTAATCCATCACAAAGAATTTAAGACCCTAATAAATTAGTTGTAGCACTGGAAGAGGACATGCAGATACAATTCCTCACTTTGCCAGGATTGACAGATGCTATTTTGATGAGCAAAGGAGCCATCAGTTCAAGTAACTGGTCATTAGACCAAAGTAGGGTTTAGGTGAGTGGCATCTTCTAATTTGTTGAGAGTTGTTAGGCTGGCAAGGTCACAAACTTTTTTTCTTCACTCTTCATTGACACTACTTCTGTATCTAAAATGATGGAAGCCTTAGATGTATCTCCAGTACACCATGCATTTTGCTTCTGAAAGCCATGTCTGAAAACTCTACCAGATGCTTTGGCTGGTAGGAAAGGCTCAAGGCATTTGGTTTCTCCTTGAACAGATGTGAGTAAGTGGTCCTCTCAGAGTCATGAGAATTAAGGAAATCTAGGAATATAAAACCAGAACAGCAAGCAAGCTCCAGCTGTGTTGAAGTTATAGGTTTGTGATTCTGGGAGTCTCAGAATCTTAAGAGAACACCTGAAGATACATATGAGTTCTGATCTGTGGAGATGAGGTGTAATAAATAAGAGCTCTTTCTCTTTAACACTTAAAAATGTTTCAATTCCTTATGTAATATTTGGCTACGTTTGTCACTGAAGTAAAATAATATATTTGAAGACTAGTGGGCCCTGGTAGGTTTGCTAGGTTATGTTCCTTCCTGTTTATTTCATAAAAGCACTTGTTAGTCTGTTGGGGGGTTTCATTTGGAACCGCAGGAGTGTGTTGCAAACCAGACATAAACTAAATTACAGCATATGCAGCACCGACCCCTTACGAATGGAAAACGCATATTTTCAGCTGACCTGCTCCTCAGGTAACTAGATGTGGGAGAAAAATATTTATTGGAAATGATGTAATTGCCACCTTATTCTTTTCTAAAGCTGTGAAATTGTAATCAAACAGCATTGGTGGAGAGAATAGCAGACAAAGAGGGGAATGGAAAGATTTGATCCACAAGGCAGTTCCTTGAGAAACACTTGAAAGCTCTGGGGAGGTCAGCTAGGGTGGGAGGACAGAAGCGAAGACACAGGAGGCGAGGCTCACTGGAACACAGAGCAGCAGTCCATGGGATGGGTAGAGGCCATGATGCCCCATAAATACCAGCAGTGTCATACTGTGTGTAAAATGAAACCGTCGTGGTGAGTGGTTGCACAACCAACTTGCAATTTGAGTTTATTCAATTTTTTTAAACAATAAAAGCTAAAAACACTTGACCTGTAATTCAAGGGGACTCAAGGAATTACAATGAGAAAAGCCATACATGAAAACATTTGTGTAAGTAACTCTTAAAAGTAGGGCTGGGCGCGGTGGCTCAAGCCTGTAATCCCAGCACTTTGGGAGGCCGAGGCGGGTGGATCACGAGGTCAAGAGATCGAAACTATCCTGGTGAACATGGTGAAACCCCGTCTCTGCTAAAAATACAAAAAAATTAGCTGGGCATGGTGGCGTGTGCCTGTAATCCCAGCTACTCAGGAGGCTGAGGCAGGAGAATTGCCTGAACCTAGGAGGCGGAGGTTGCGGTGAGCCGAGATCATGCCATTGCACTCCAGCCTGGGTAACAAGAGCAAAACTCCATCTCAAAAAAAACAAACAAAAAAAAAAACAAAAAAAACCAAAACCTTAAAAGTAATTGAAAACATGACATCTATATAATAATTTACAAAAGAGTTAAAAGTGAGGTTATGATTTTCTTGGGTAGAGCTGGTTTGCATTTGATTACACACTGACACTTGTTTTTATTACAAGGCCTGGTAAGAAATAATGAAATATCTGTTGAGAATTTTAACATGATGAAAGCAGTGTGAACAGTACAATTTGGTGAATTGCATAGATTTCAGAATGAAGAGCTTCTTTTATGAAAGTTATTTAAGACTAATTCAGTATTCAACATTATGTCAAGTAGGAGGGCGGGGAACGAGTATGCATGTGTATGTGGGTTGTCAAACATTTTTTTAGTGTAGTGGAAAGGAGCTACCACACCTTTAAAGTACAGACTGTTCTTATCTCATTAAATAATATTTCTTTTTAAAAGTAAATTTAAAACAAGGTAATTTATACACAGGAAAATGCACTAATCTGAAATATAGTTTGATGAATTTTTGCATAAATATTTAATCACTCCAGAAAGTTCTCCCATGTCCTTTTATAGTGAAAACCCCTTTGTATTCAAAAGTTACCTCTCTTCTGATTTCTATCACCATAGATTAATTTTGCCTTTACTTGAAATTTGTAAGAATGGGATCATTCAGTTTTTCACTGTTTTAAGTGTGACTTATGTTCATGATGATGCTTTCAAAATTCATCCATATTTTTGCAAATGTCAGTGATTTGTTCTTTTTATTGCTGTGAGTTATTTGTTCGATTCCCAGTTTGTTTACCTGTTCTCCTGTTGTTGAAAAGTCGATGTGTTTTCAGTTTGGGACTGTGAGGAATGGAGCTATGTGAGTATAGCAGTATAAATCTTTTGGGGACGTATGTACTCCTTTTCAAGTCCCACCCTTGGGATGATGACTCAGTGGTCCTTACCCCTTTTTCCCCACCTGCCACAACCTCACATGCCCCTCCTCCTGTGATTCTGGTTAGACTTGGGAACTTCCACCCAAGATACCAGGTGCCAAACGTAGAACACCATTCCGGGAAACAAATGACAATCTTGAAAATGAAAAATCCACATAAAATATGACTCTGCAAGCTGAGAAGCTTTATTTTGTTTTAATGAACACCAATGGATAGCTGTTTGCCCTTATCCTACGGTGGAGTTCAACTTGCCCTCTTCCTGTGTTGCAGAGTGCTAATTCACATTCCTAAGCTTCACTCTGCCACAATGAGAAGGGAAGACTTGCTGTACTTTCTGCTAGGAATTGGAGTGCCCAATCAAAACACATTAATTGTCCTCTTTCCCATGCATAATTTTAGATGACTCTTCTGATTTTGACAAATAGCTTCTGAAACCCCTTACTGAGCTAGCTACAGACTTGGGAACTCTTTGTACCTCTTAAAGCCACTAACAGCATTTTGTCATATTTGTTTTCTCAAGAAGGGTCCTCCTAAGATAGGAGTTCTCAAGGCTCTCGTTTCCCCTGTCGTGTAAGCAAAACTACAGGCCTTATCTTTGGGGCCTTTCTTGGGCGTTTTCCAATGCTACGGCCAGACCTGGGCTAGCTATGGTCAATGAAGTTTTCTGCTACTCCCAAATCAAGCCTCATTCCAAAATCAAGCTGAGGAACCACTTCTCTTAGGAGAAAACCTTTCCTTTTCTCTACAAGGAATGACATTGCAGTTTTGAATGTGATCATCTGGTCACAGATACTTTCTAGTTTCCCTCACTTTAGATAAAAGACATCTTTTTAAAGGGCTGATTCCCCCCCCCCCATTCAAAGAACCTCTTTGTGAACCTGCACCTTTATTTTATTTTATTTATTTTTTTTTTTGAGACAGAGTCTCATTCTTTTCACCCTGGCTGGAGTGCAGTGGTGTGATCTCAGCTCACTGCAACCTCTGTCTCCTGAGTTCTAGTGATTCTCAAGCATCAGCCTCCCAGTAGCTAGGACTGCAGAAGTGTGCCACCATGCTCAGCTAATTTTTTGTATTTTCAGTAGAGATGGGGTTTCACCAGGTTGACCAGGCTGGTCTCAAACTCCTGAGCTTAGGCAGTCTGTCTGCCTCAGTCTCCCAAAGTGCTGGGATTACAGGCATGAGTCATTGCGCCCGGCAAGAACCTCTTTGTGGACCTGTACCTTTTTGATTGTAGAAAATAATTCATCTGCCTCCATTCCAGTAAGGAAATAAACAGACATTTCTAGATTCTTCTAATATTGTTTTATCTACTCAGTATTCTGTGGGATTACGGTTTACTTTTACTTTGATGAAACATTAAAATTTTTCTTAAGATGTTCTTCTGACTAAGTATAATTTTCAAATAAATTGATGCATTCCACTTCCTCTTGTTCAGTTGGTCAAATTCAAAACTGCAGTGTCATTTCTCTTAAAGATAAAAAGGGAACGCTGTCTCCTAAGTGAAGTGGTCCCATAATATGAAGTGGTCCTTTGGAATTAATTGAATCAGTAGCAGCAACTTGAGGCCTTACCAAAGGAAAATTGTAAAGTGGCTAGTACCTACTGGTTTTTCATTTAGTATATAGTTTTTCCCCTTGAAAAGGTAACACTTCTTCACAAAAAGATCTGATGCTTATTAACATTAAGCTGCAGATGACTGAGAACTTTGACATTTAGTGTTTTGGAGCATTTAACACCCATCACACCCAGAAGACAAGTAGGGGGATGTTGGTTGTCAGCCAACATGACTATTCTTAGGTCCATGGGAGCTCTGTCCCATAATGTGCATAGATGTTGGAGCTGTGAGGGCCTTTGTAGTATGCCTGCTTAGTTAGGACTCCACGAGGATGTTCCAGGCATTCAGG